GAGAGAGAGAGAGAGAGAGAGAGAGAGAGAGAGGAATTGTCTTTATTATGTTTGCAAGTAATCCATGTGTGGTAGTAAGTGAACCATGGTTGCAGATTCAATTTGAGCTGAGGGGTGTGATTTCTAACTATGAACTGAGTCTGATTATGTTGGACGGATTGTCCCCTTCTGTGTGCTCTATTTGCATCAACTTTTGTAGTAAACCATGAAAGGCAACCATGCTCAAAAGTATTTTGCAATAGGAGGTAAGGGCTTGTTTTGTGCATGCTAAGAAAGTTCACAATATTGTGATTTGCTTAGATTACTGAACTTTCAGACGTAAATATTTCTCTTTTCCATTGGATATTACTTTTGGTTGCATTTCCATTTGGTAATAACTATCCGCATTGAAGTTGGTGACCCCACCTTTCCTGCGTTTATATTATAAAGGGGGGACGTATACTGTTCCCTCAGGAGCATAGTTTTACCTCTACTCCCTCAGTCAGAAGACCTACTTGGAAGGGTTTTGTCGATCAGAAATTTTGGGAACCACTTAAGAATGATGAGATGATTATTCTAAAAAAAAAAAAACTAAAATTTGAGTTTTTCTGGTACTTAGATCTCATGATTTAAAATTGGATGGTGTCTATCCAATCTTGAGACATTATTTTTCTCTGGTGCATATAGATGATACAATTAGGAAATTTATTTATTGGGGTTAATCCATGGGTTGAGGTGGTTGTATCTTTAAAATTTGGGGTCCTAAAATTAATTCTAGGCTACCCAAGGGAGTAATAGATATTGTACTCCAGCGGGAGTAAAATATCATCATCATCATAGTCTTATTTCAACTATTTAGGGTCAGAAACAAAATGAATATTTGTTTCCATAAGAACCAAAGTTTGGGGATTCATCTTAGCGACCAAACTAAATAGGAATTTCAAAATGCATTTTAAAGGTGCCTGGAGAAAATCACATACTGACATAGACTTCAAACTTTGGATGGTTAGTCGGTCTAGGTGTTTGGTACCTCAAATAAACTTTTTGAAGAAATTTGTCAATGTACAAAACATCAAGTTCAGATAATTCAAATTTTGGGATCTACCTAAATTATTATTAGAAAAGAAATAGAAATTCAAGTTCTTGAATACTTCTTGCATTTTTTGTCTTTCTTGGCAGTAGTTGCTAGGTTCAAGATGTTTCATCCCCAAAATTTGGGATCCTAAACATATTCTTGGGACTGGAATATGCTTCACAGGAGCAGGAAATCATTTGGGTTTTTTTAAATATTCGTTTTTTGATTTTAAAATGGAAATTTCAGGTTAAGAAATTGTGCCAAAGCAGTTCTTTGCATGAGGGAGAGTGTAAAATTTCTTGGGAGCAGCAGACTGCATGCCATAGTTGTCAAGACCAGACCCAGGCCACCAACTTATGCTTTTGCAGTCTAATTCAAGGTAAAAAGCTAGGTTTGTTCGAAAACTAGTTAAAATTCATGGTCAACTAGTTTTGGCTTGTCAAACGAGTGGCTGGTTCAACCAACTAATGGTAAAAAAAATTAATATATTTTAGATTTTAAACTATTACATCTTCTGTTATAAATAAAAAAAATAAAAAATTGGTCCAACCAATTGGCCAATAGTTGGACCAGTTTTAACTTCGACAAAACCTTCCACTAGTTTGATGACCAGTCAAATCCTAATAAGGTTGTTGCATCTCAAATTTGCCTTTGGCAACTAACTTATGTTTGAAAAGCGTCTATCACAGATGGGAAGTGCCATCTGGTATAAATTAAATTAAGGTACTCGCTGGATATTTTGGAAGCAAAGTTGATTTCGTTAGCATAGATGGGAATACTTAGTTGGGGCGGTTGACTTATTTTAGCACAGGATTGATTTAAATCAGGTTTTAAAAATCGGCAAACTGGATCACAACCGGCATATTCAAATTAGTCGAAACCAGCTGATTTGGATTGGGAATCATTGAAGCCAGTCAACTTTTGCCTAAATATTGAAAAGCGACTAGTTCTGTCTGAGAATCGGCTCATTTTATTTTCTAATAATTTTTTAATTTTTTCCTTTTCATAAAACAATATTTGATGGTTCACTTGGTCAGAGCGCTGTTTTCCACCGGTATGATCCAATTTTCTAGAGGAGCAATCCAGGTCATCAGACCATGTTTTCAAACCTTGATGTAAACAAAAAAAAAAAAGAACAAAAAATACATTGCACTGAAGTATCTCTGCATGCACACACATGCTTTGAATTTTTTATCAGAAAGGGGTAATGTAACCATCTTGGCCGAAGAAAAAAGCCCGATCAATCGATTTCCCAAAAATATCATCCGAACAAAACACACACACACAGAGATTGACATCTCACAGCTTCGCAACTAGCAAGAGAGAGAGAGAGAGGTGTTGACATCTCAGAGCTTGGCTCTTAACATGTCATTCTGGGAGAGAAATGCTCTATCTTCAGTTTCTTCATGTGCAACGTAATTCAAATTCAATAAGTTGGAACTTGTAATGCTGTTGGCGCATGAAAAATCAACGCACATGAAAAGCGCATTACAGAGAGCCTTCACATCATCCGATGTATGCGCCGCACTTAATGTCACCCGCAACCTGTAAAAGAAAACACATGCTTATTTATATGATAATTCTTACAGTCCAAAAGTTTAGCATAATTCAAATAGTATATGGTACTCCATAGCAACATCCACCGTCCATTCTTGATCATGGGGAGCAGAGATTAATTATATACTTAGATGAATGTCTGAGTGAACCTCACTATGGTTAATTTCTAATAATCTATCGCAGTAATGGCCCATAATAGAGCAGAATGATAGACTAGGATTCGCGTAGCTGACTCCAATTAATTGAAAAAGGTTATGATGATGATGATAATCGACGTAATGAACTGTGAATACCTTTAGGAGTGCCCTATACAATATTTGCTCATCATATACCTTCTTTATAAGGAAAAGTATACCACGACTCTTATGCATTACATGCATGCACCATCACAGAGAGACTTCTTAGAGAACATGCCATCGATAAATTATTGACTTTGAACAAGATTGTTAGTGGACATTAAAAATTGTGAGAAAAAATTTAAGTGTCACGAAATTCATTGTGAATTGACAGGAATTCATCTATAAGCAACAGATTGACAAATCATATACATAAAAAGAGTCCAGTTAACGGAAGAAAAAATAGCATGAATCCCTTACCTGCATGAATTTGAAGGGACAGTGGGAGGTCTAATTGCAGTAATATGAAAACCAGATTTCAGCATATGCCTGCATGCAGAAAAAATGAGACACCACATAATTATGATGGTCATAATATTTTTTGGGCCATTCCATGAGAATCCAATTCCGACAGTCTCACCTTGTTAACAATATCAATGATTTTTGGAACAACAATTTAATGTAACAATACCAGTGATTTTTGGAAACAATAATATAATCGAAAGGGAAGTTAAATAAATTGAATGGAAGAACCTGCTGGCTAGAAGTGCCGATTCTTCATTTCCTATAATCAGTGAAATAATGGGGCTCGAAACTGGCATGTTAGTCAAGGAAGTGAATTCTCTCACTCTACTCCAGATAGCCTTTCGTCGCCATTTCTCCTTTCTCGCTACAGTAATAGCAGCTGCAAGGTTATGCAAATCCTTTTATCAGGCCAAAGTTGAGTAAGTATGATTAGAGCAACAAAGTGCCTGATCAAAGTAAAGGAGATTAAAGCAAAAAACTAGGAGACCGACTTAAGTACCAATGTCTTTCAGAAGAAAAATATATAAGGTTGAGGCCCAAAAAATCAAATTAAGGCGCACCTCAAAAAATCACTAGGAAAAGTTTTTCGATGCTCAAATCCGATCATCTTGACCTTGAGATACATGGGCCTAAAAAAAATGGACTCCAAGTCTTGGAATAATGCATCTTGTAATGCATTATCTAGACTATCAATTTTTAAGATTATCAAGTGTTCATAGATCTGCTTGATGTGCACTATTTTTTAAGCTTTAAATTTTATAATTAGAGATGTTTTATTTTTAGGCCATCATAAATATTTTTGGTACTAGACCGCATCTTTCGATTGTATTTGAACGTGCACCTTACTTTGATAGTTAAGGGCCTCAGCCTTATACAAACCGCACCCAATAAATAAACCAAGAACAAGATAGCAATGTGGTAAAGAGTAGCGCATAGACAACCTGGCATGCAATATTCTCAGTCTAATTATCAATCTCTCCATGTATGGGCATGAAATCTCTCTTAGTGAAAAAGTTCAAAAAGAAAAAACCTGAAACCCTAAGTATATTACCATGTGCAGCGGCAGCAACAGGAACTGGAAGAGCTGTTGAAAATATAAAAGACCGGCCCCTTGATTGTATAAGCTGTTTCCATTTCTGGCTGTTGAGGTGCCATTTACAAGTCAAATATAGCTAATAGACATGCAAGCCCAACATAGTAATCTGCCAAAAATAATCGGAAATTAACAGAAATGCTGCTAAGGTTTATACTTTATAGTGGTGGGAAAAAAGGAGTCATGGTGAAATACAGGAATATCCGGCTATAATTTAGTTGGAGTTCCACACAGAGTCCAGGTAACGGCTTCACAGAGAATTAGTATGGGGGTTTGCCGAGAAATGGGAATTCCGATCAGAGATATCCTCAGCATAATTAGCCCTCTCTTCCTCTCTCTCTCTCTCTCTCACACACACACACACATACACAGAGGTATCCTCAGCATAATTAGCCCTCTTCCTCTCTCTCTCTCTCTCTCACACACACACACACACACACACATACACAGAAGTAAAGTGATCGTCAAAAACATAGAATTTCATGCTTACATTTACCTGCAAGCAATAAATCCACCATGGCAACCTGCAGCCTTACTCAAAGTACCAATGCAAATATCGATGTAATTTTCAGCCTCACACAGCTCTGCAACTCCACCTCCATTCTCACCACAAATCAGTGTTCCATGAGCCTAAAAGGACATGGAATCATGGAGGCCACATTAAACCATATCAAGGGATAATAAGGGAAAGCATATCGTAATCCATCAACTAGGGAAAAGCCATAGGTCATCACCATCCACTGAAATGGTGGACGATGATAAAGAAGCTTGGGATGCAGAAAAACAGGAAATGACCCTGATGTTGGGTCTTAACCTCTCTCCATTGCCTTCCAGTAATTCATGGATGGTGATGACCTAATGGTCTATGAATGTTCTTAGTTGCAGAAAATTAAATATCAGTATCTTGGGCAGCATGAATGCGTGAGGTTCTAGGACAACTTACATCATCAATAACAAGGAGAAAGTTATGCTTCTGGCGAAGCTCCACAAGTTCAGCTATAGGTGCAAAATCTCCATCCATGCTAAATAAGCTGCATGGTAAAAAATGGTAACCATCATAATGGGCAAAACAGCATGGCAAGAACTGTCACAGACCTCTCTCTCTCTCTCACACACACACACACACACCAATAGAAACTATGAAAGAAAGAAACAGAAAATTTCTAAGCCGCACACAGGCAACATGATTTACCTATCAGACACAACCACTTTCTTCTCCATTTCGCAACTGGAGCTGTATTTGCAATATTCAATGTCAAAGTGGGGTTTGAACTGGGGTAAAAACAGTGACATCCATTTATCCATTTAGAGACAGAGACAGAGACTTACAGTAGACCATCGAGATGGATCATGTCACAATGCCTATACACAAAGGCCACTGCTTCTTGATGTCGCTCAACAAGTCGAATTCCATCTATGAGTGATGCATGATTTAGAGCATCAGAAAAAATTGCTACTTTCTCTCTCTTTGAGGGTTTCCTACCAACAGATAAAAGAGAAGCAATGTTTCCTACCGATGCCATCACAGCCATGTTGGCTGAAAACCCTGTCGGGCAAAGGAGGCAATCCTGAAAATTTACACAAATATAATATCAGCTTTTGCAACAGCAAGCCATGTCTACATGACTAATGTAGTAAAGAGAGTAGCAAAGGATAATATCAACTGATAGCTGAGCATAAACCAAAGAGAAGTACACCATGGTCCAATGGATGATTAAAAACCATAGTATAAGCATCATCACCATCCAATGAAAGGATGAACGGTGATGATGAGTGAGTGGGACCCACCACTGAACCAATGTCCTGTTCTGGTTGGTCCCACTCATACCATCACCATCCCATGGACAAGGGTGCCATTGAACTAAACTAAACACTACATTAATTCTTCTTCCAATTGATGCAAGCTTGAAGACAGCATTTGAGTACAAGAGTGAAACTAAGAAGGCTTAACGAGTCCATACCAAACAACGGATCTATAAAGATGCCAAACAAAAAAATTTCGCATGAATCTGAGCAATACAAAGAATTATAAGCTGCCAAAAAATAGGAAACAAGCATCCTAATGAAGTAGGATAAGAAAATCAGCATGTATCTACAATTCGCATGCACATGCACATGCATGCACACGCACACACACTCACATTCCCATTTTCCTTTGCATTACTTAGAACCTATAATCAGATGGCATAATCTATGGAAGATGGGGAGAAAAAATTGCATTCCAAGTGAAACCTAGAAGAATAAATATTCAATTACAAGGAAAACACATGTTGACTCGATCAAGGGAAAGTATATGAGGTGGCACCCCAAAGACCATCTTGGAGATGGATTGAAAACCTGAAATCCTGATCACCTGCAAATCCATTCCTCTCCCCCCCCCAAACTAGGGATTTTGAAGCTCCAAAAAAGGTGTAAATCAGATCTAGGGAAACCTGAAATGGAAGGTCCAGAAGAGCCGTGCAAGATGGACCAGTTTTAGGGCTTCAAATCCTTTTATATTCAGATCCACGATCGTATAGGTGAAAATGATAGATTTGCAGAGTTTCGTGCTGGAAGTGGTTTTTCAAGCAAGTTTTGAGGTGCCACTGCATGCAATCGCATCAGCACCAAAACCTCATCCTTTAGTTAACCTTTTTACTTCAAGAAGCTATCACTATAAGCGTCAACCAATACCTCTTTCTTTTTCAAACTTGCCAAAGATGATTCCAGCACTCTATGATAATGTGTATAACCACATATTAAAGCCGAACCTCTTGGACCCATCCCATGATCTTGAGCAGCCTGAAATTTTGCAAATGTAACAGTAAATGATCGTAGAACTAACTAATGAAAGTCTAAATCAAGCTAAAGCATACTACAATCCAATGGGCTATGGAAAATCAGAGACCATTCAGGTCATCACTATCCATTGAGGGATATCACCATTAGATGAAGGATACGGTTTTTGTGAGTCAACCAACTCACCTTTTACCATGCGGTCCCTTGTCCATCAAACGTCCATCTCTAAGATGGATGTCAAAAAAATGTTGTCTACTAAAAGTTAAAAATGGTCGGCGAGAAAAGGAATTAAAAATACAATATTTTATTTAAAAAAAAAAGAAGAAAAAATCCAAATTTAGATCATTGCCATGATTGATATTATCAAAATAAAAAAAAATACATCCCTGAGATATATTCCGGAGGGAGACCGCACAAAAATAGGTGAGTCGGACGACTCACCAAAACCTTTCCTTAGATGAAATGGGAAGTGGTGAAGAGCGCGTGGGACCTCTAGGATCCTTTCCTTTCTAGAACCACTCTCTCTACATCATGGCCATCATTACAATGGATGTGATGACCCAAATGGACTATTAATATACCATTTCATATTGAAATGGCTTCGAAGCAACAGGATTTATTTCTCTTCCTTCTTGTTCTTTAGCCTCTTTTTGATAAGTCAGAGTAACTTGTTATGAGCACCTTAGCAGCAGCCTTTCTAACCATTGGGTGAGAACTCAATCCCAAGTAATCATTCCCTGAGAAGAGAATGAGCTTTCTAACATCTCGAGGTGAAACTCCTTCTTTGTTATCCAAATGTGTTTCCACATCAAACGCCTCATGCCCTGAAAACAAAGCACAAGGGTAAGGGACATGCATGAGGAAGCAGTACCAAAGGAAACCATCGTGGAAAAGACCAAACTAGGAAACCAACAAAGAAAATAGCTCGACCAATAAATTGCAAAAAGCTACTTAAATGTTCAGCTACATGTATTGTACATTATCTAAAATACCACTGGTATGAGGAGCAACAGTTGAGAAATGAAGAGAATGGAACTGCCTCTTTACCTATGTGCAATAAAGAGAAGCAAATGGATTGTCAAATCACAAAAATGAGCTGAAAATTACAAGAAAAATGCCATGTGATGGATATGCCCCAATGGGCAAACCTAAATACATGCGGCCTTGCCCTGTATTTGTAGCCAGGTGATGGCCTGTAGAAGTGCAACCCTGTGAGAATAGCTCTTCACCTTGTTATCACAAACACTACAGAGGCTGAGGAAGTAGTGATCATGCACCAATGAGGACACTAATAGAGGTCACCAACATACATATGAACTGCCATTAAATTTAAATTTCATTGAGCTTGCTTGAACCTGGCTGTGATGCAGTAAAGAACTTGTGGGGACAAAGTCACAATGAGCTATCATCCTTCAGCTATTGATGAGCTAGGTGGCCCAGATATACTGATTTTTCTTCTTGGCTGGAGCCTATAAGAGGTTTCTTGAGATTGAACGAATCAAAAGCTGTGTAAGAGTGAACCTAGCAGGCAAGAAGCATAAATAGAGGAGCAAATCAGGGCAAGCTTTCAAAAGCTAGATGATAATGGTATCCTTATTCTGCAATTTTGACACCAAGTTAGAGGGTATCACACCATTAAATCCTGGAGTAGCCAAGTTGCGAAGAAACTGCAAGGGGACTGAAATTCTCAATGACTTGGGGGAGAACACCAAATGGCAACAAGCATTCTTGACTCAAGCATTATGCAATCAGCCCAAAGGTGTCCAATAGGAAGGACCAACTCTCACTTTTGACCGTACTCTAGATAAGTAGGTAGCCATCAGAAGTCCAAATGGGAGTCCTCAGCTGGTTCAAAATGTATGTCTTCATGAAATTTGAAACACTTCCTTCATTGTAAGGATTGGGGAAAAATAGGATTTCGGTGTTTCCTTAGTAGCATGTTATGTCAGTGTCTGATTCATGGGCAGAGAATCTAGTTCTAGGACCTTGATAGTTCCAACTGTGCCACACAAATCCGTGGAGATGATCAATATATATCCATTTGTGTGTGAACCTATATGGAAAGTTCCATGCAAGGGGACATGGACCACCAAAGATGAAGGAAGAGAAACTGGGAAAACCCAAAATATATGTCATCCAGAGTTAAATTCAAATGCTACATAATATGAACATCAGCCTTGTACATGCATGTTGGTTTTTTTTATTTATTTACCAGAGCGCAAGCAAATTTGCGAGCTGGAGATTGAATACCACCGTAAATCAAGCTATTTGATCCTCTTACGCAAGCAGATCCCTAATCTTTCAAGTGTTTTGTAAATGAGAATTGGTTTTCACTATTGAGAGTTTGAGATCCCAGCTGAGTATTTATTTCTAATCAAGAGACTATGCAAAGAAGAATTGAAGAGAAAAGATGTCACGGAGAACATTCGCCCCTTCTCAAACAATAATGCACACAGAAATATTCAAAAGTTAATAGAAAAACAATAAACAACAATGTATAGGAACTCGGCTCTGGCTTGGGACCTGCTGTGCCCAACCCGAGTAACTCGGACCAGTCTAATGGACATGCCCAAAGTAGTGTACAGAACACAAAAACCCCAAAAATTAAATAAAAAAAAGTTAAAATAAAATAAAAATGGTAAAAATTAAAGTAAACAAAAAACAGCATTAGAAGTCCAAAGAAATGCGAAAATATATATAAAACAAGAATTTAGAAAAAAATTGATTTATAGCTTGAGGCGTTTCAGAAAAATCCAAAAAAAAGAGAAAAATACTAAAATAGGACATATGAAAAGGAACACTTAGAAACCATCATAAAAAACATACAAAGTTACATATTATATATTTTATACATTGACTATACTTAGCATAATTTTTGCATTTTTTATATTTTTTATATAACCCCGAGTTTTACCCCAAGTACTTGGCTGGGCAAGGAGCCGACTCCAATTAAGTTGGCCAACTCTGAGTCCACTCAGCCGAGTCCCTAAACACTGGCAGTGGATCAAAGAAAGTATTATGCTTTAAATAATCAAATAGAAACCCAAAATGAGAAAACAAAAAAAATACAATAGAAACACAAGTCAGATGAAAATCAATCAAATTGGCAATATTTAAACTTAGGAAACAAAAATCAACATGTAAAACATTGACATTTGCTTTCGAAATTCAATAAAAATAAGCACTTCTCTATTTGAAAGTGATACCTATAAATATTTACCCAAAAAAAAAGTGATACCTATAAATTAACAGAAATACAGAAAAAAAAAAAAAAAGTAGGTAAATAATTTGATGTCATTCACCATGCTTAAGCTAGAAGAGTAGAAAATTTAATAAAAAAATGGAGAAAAAAAAAAGAAAAAAACGCATTAATTCGGGAGTAGGTTTAATCAATAACCATTCTTAAACAATGAGCTTAGAAAACAAACAAAAAATAAATAAAAATAGGCCCAAGAAGGGCAAATTTTAAAACTAATCTAAGCTTAAAATGACCTTGCCTGAGATTGAAAACTCATTCATCCATTTCTGAAACGTTGATTCGGTGATTTCGACTTCCACTGCTTCTCTATCCCATGGCTGAATTCCATCAAACGTCTCGAAATGCTCTTCTGACATCGAATTCCCCAAAACTTTATCGGCATTTCCTAAATAACCATTTGAAGGGGGAGCCATGAAAATGGGTCTCAGAGTTCTGATAAGCTTTGTTGAGTACAGCTTCTGCAACGCTTGGTCCAACCATGAATCCCAGGAATTCTCCATCTTTCTTTGCGACGGGGTGCAATGGGGATTACACTCTTCACAACCCGAGAAAACGGTATGAGAGAGAAATAGTAGCAAAGTAGATGAAGAGAGAGAGAGGATGGAGATCAGAGTTGGGGTGATTGGGTTGCGATGTACTGAAAGAGAGAGAGAGAGAAAGAGAGGGTCGAGAGAGAAGGAGAGGAGAAAAGAGAGAGCACGTGTAGGATGCTACCTAACGAATTTGGCCTGAAGCATGGAGCTCGTGACAGCAGCTTTTGAAGGAGAAGACGTCAGAATAAAAGCAGGGAATCCCTGATATACATTTGGTTTTTTTGGTGTGGTGAAGGACTCACCTGTTGAAAATAGGCGCCGACGGGGTGGCAACTGGTCTGGTCGGGTCGCGTCTGACTGGACCGGGTCTGGACCTGGAAAAATAACATGCGACCGGAACCCGACCTAAAAATTAAAATATTTGTATATTCAACTATATTTAAATATGTTTTATATATTCAGACCTAGATGCAACCAGACCTGGACCCAAACTCAAATAGTGTTCAGGTCTAATATTTGGAGGATCCAATTTTTTGACCTGTACCCGGACCCAAATCTGATTCGCACAATGGGTCCTAGGTCAGATTCGGATCCATTGCCACCCCTAGCAACAGGCAGCGCTTGGGCCTTCGGGTGACTCAAGGTCAAAACTTTAGACGGTGAGGATAGGGTCATGGCTGAACTCGGCTAGAGAGGCCTGCCCATGCCATGCCCCAACTCAAGCTCTATTTTTGCGCTAGGCAGCCCATGCTGGCTGGCCCCTATCAAGGTGTAGGTATCGACCTGGTAATTGGCTAGGTGGCCCGACCTAGATCCAAAAAATTGGGGCATGTGCCACAAAAATATAACCCTTGGGCAATAGGGGGTATATTTTACGAACGACTTTTTTATTTTTTTATTCTGGTTTAGTTTTTTCTCTGCATCAATTGGTATCAGATCCATGATCTAGCTATGAAGAGCTTCAATCAAATATTTGATAAAATCAAAGAAGATCTGGTAAAACGCATTAGCAGAGTGTAGAATTAGGTCTTCGAGATTTCTTTAATAGATTATAATTGGAACAAGAGGAAAAATGATATGAAGAGGTAAGTCTAGATGCAAAAAGCAACACTTGTGCAAGAAATTTAAAAAAATAATAAATTTTGAAAACTAAATATGAAAAAGAAGATACGTGTTTAAAATCCAACCAAGTGAGTCATAGCCCGAAATCATTGTGTTTTACTTTAAGATGGGCTTGAAACATTAAATGAATCAAACTGTGTTGAAGAAATTGAAGAAAAGGAGGTACATGATGGGGCTACCTTACCAACTTTTGAGAAGTGAAAAGAAGCGCATTGTGGGATTACATTATACAACTTTTGAGTTTATTTATTTTTATATTTTTAATTGAGTTAGGATAAAGATAAAGTTAAGTAAAAAGAGGTAGGATTTTTTATACGTATTGTTAAGCGGGAGATTTAGTGAGAGATTTAAAGAGGTTTAAATATATTTAGTGAGAGATTTAATGGGATTTAAATATAAGAAAGATATGGGACTTAGATATAAAAATATATATTTTGAATTTATAGAAAGTTAAGGGGATGAAAAATATAGATGGCATTTGAGGTTAAGAGAGAGAAAATAAAAATAGAGGTAGGTTATCTTTTGGAAGCAAGTCTTCTAAGACTAAAAAAATAAAGAGAAACTAGGGAGATGAAGAGAGAGATGGGAAAAGTTCATGCATGTGAGACAAATAGGTTGCTTGTTAGTTATTTGTCTTGAAGTTTATTTAATGGGAAGATATCTCTCATTGTAAACCAATCGAAGAATGAGAGTTGAATAAAGTTGATATTGATAAGATTTATTTGGAGTGGTTCCCTTATATACCTTATTTTTGAGGTGAATTCCCTTGCAGACTTTGAGATAAAATATATTGTCTCAAGAAATTTTTTTTTTATTATTTCAGTTTATTTTTCTCCTTGCATCAGGTGGCGTGTTTTTATTTTTATTTTGATCTATTAGGTCTCGCCTGGTCTAGCACAAGGACTCTTTAGCCAGGCTGAACCGGACTTGGGCTAGCCTATAGGGACCAAGCCAAAGTAGCACTATGATTGCCCCGGTTCAAGCCCTTTACCAATTTTAATATATATATATATATTATTGTTCACAATGTTTATATTTTTGTAAGGTAAAATGTACATGGAGCCCATGTACGAACCAAGAAAAAACTTATGCTCTATACAAGAAGGGACTGGACCGCGATGATGATGAAAAAAACTTCTACTCTATATTAGAAAATTATTAGGTTGAGAATATCGACCACGATGGTGATGAAAAAAAAAGTAAATATTAAAATAAATCATTTAAAAGTTTGTTTCTAATAACCTATTTCAAGATTTAATTTTTTTTTTTTTGTGGTAGAAGAAATTCAAGATTGTGAAATCGTGAAATGGATGCTTTGAAAATGAATCTCCAAAGAGATTCACATTTAGAGCAAAATAGGAACTCACAAAAACTTTATGCTTCACGTATTGCATTACCAAATGAATATAAAGAATCAATTAATATGAATGGGAATACCTAACTCGAAATATCTAATAAGGGGACACCAATTTGGTAGGAGTTTTGCTATTGCAACAACCATGAGTTTGTTTCGCCTAATCTATAACTAAAAATATTTTGAGGTTTAAAAGGAGAAGATAAAATAAACTCTTGGATCCAATGTGTTGGTGAGGGAAAGAGAGAGGTGAGAGAAAAGTAGTTTGAGTAGATGCAAGTGAGAATGACATGACGATGACCAATAGAAAAATGTTGATTTATAAGGGTGAAGAGTACATTAAAAAGGTGATTGGATACCTTTTATTTTTAGTACAAAGAAGGCGCAATTATCTCAATTGTCAAATGTGAAACCTGTTGCTGTGTATGTTTTAAAAACGTGGCAATTTCCAATTCGGATCGCCTATGGGAATTGATCGGGATCAAATCAATTTTAAGATGTTATGAATCCCGGCCCGGTTCTCCCCAAAAAAGCTTATTTAATAATTTTTAAGTCCCTTCTAAATCTCCACCATATAAATCTCTGTTTTAATTTAATTTAATTATTTTTATTGATCCAACAATCTAACAAAAATATGTGGGTGAATGATCCATACCACCTATTTGGGTTTTGAAACATTGATGGATTTATATAATGGATCTATAAATTTTTAAACAAAGAGATTCCAATAATTTAAGTTTATTAGATAAACTACACCAATAATAATGAAAGGAAAAAGCTTATATAAAGTGTTAAACCTATATTAGGAAAGCGGCTTTAAGTCCCCTTTAAATCTCCACCCTATAAATCTCTGTTTTAATTTAATTTAATTTATTTTTACTGATCCAACAATCTAACAAAAATATGTGGGTGAATGATCCGTACCACCTATCTGGGTTTTGAAACATTGATAGATTTATATAATGGATCTATAAATTTTTAAACAAAGAGATTCCAATAATGAAAGTTTATTACTACACCAATAATAATAAAAGGAAAAAGCTTATATATCCTATATTAGGAAAGCGCCACTTAAGAAACCATTGAAAATAGTGAGGAGTTTTTTTTTTTTTTGGCATCAATGGGAATGGAGGTCTAAATCAATAGAAGAAGCTCAAGGGTGGTACCACACTACCCAATGAGGAGTTATTCTCTAAAAACTTTGTCCACATCTCTTGAGGTTCGCTATACTTTTCACACAATTTGGGGTTTTAGGGGAAACAAGGTATACACTAGGATAATCGTTTCCAACACTTCATATCAACCAACACTCGCTTTCAAAAGTTTTTTATTCTTTTTAAAAATGAACCAAACAAACCTTAATTTTTATAATTAAAAATAAAAACAAAATTTTCAATCATCATAAAAATTTTCGACGCCAAAACTACATATTCCCATATTTAAAGACCTACCTTATTCAATTGTTTAATTTGAAAACCTTATATAAACCACACCCATAACAAAATAAAAAGTAAGAACTTTTTCTCCAAGTATTCATAAGGGCAAGTGGTATATTCTTTGAATCCAAAGCATGGACTCAACGGTTATTCTGAAAAGGGCGAGGATCATTCCCGTCAATATCCTTCCTTCAACGAGCTACTTCCCATAAAGTTCGTCGACATCGGTCTGCCCGCTAACATCCAAACCCGCTGCCCGCCGTCCGATCTGACCGATCCAACGGTCAATGTTTCCCAATCAGCTGCCCGCAAAGGTGACCGAAACCAGAGTTTATAAATATTCTCGAACTCTCCTTTCTCCAAACCCTCTCTGCTTTACACCCGAGCCAACGAAATCGCCCTGTAAGTCTCGATTTCCCCAATTGTTATGTTTATTCTCTAATTTTTTGCACGTTTATTTCTGGATATCAGGAAAGAAGCAAATTACAGGTAGATATGTTTTTCTTTTGATTTTTCCCTTTTTTTTTCTTTTTTTTTTGTCGATTTTTATGGTCTTTTAGGGTTTGGGATGTGGTTTTTGGACGTTGATCTGTGTAGGTGTAATTTTTTCTCTAATTTTTTGTTTTTTATTTGTATATGGTGTTTACATGATATGTAGGTTTCTTTTAATTCATAGATTTGTGGAATCTGGGTAGAGACTTAGTATTGATTTGACAACTATTATACTTGTGCTGAAATTTTATGTTTATGATAGTTAGAGGTGGGATTCTATGGTGATTTTATGAGAAAACTGGAAATAAAGGGGTTTATTTGTTCTTAGTTGGTATAGGGTTTGTTTTGAGTTTCCCTTTTTTACGATGCTTCTTTTTATATAGGTTGCTAGCTTTTTAGGGTTTTGAATTCGTTTGGCATGTATCTTTTTTGGTTCTTTCCTCTGGGTAGTTTATGTATTTGATGAGATGGGCTTGCTGATAAATTTGATGCGAATAATTAAAGAGAAAAAAATCTGCACCCACAATTGTGTTCTTTACGCTGGTTTTTTTAAGAGGGTTTCTTTAATTTATATAGGAGTGGTAAAGGCTGGGGTTTGATTTATTTGAGGTTTTTTCTCCCACTTTCAATCAAGTTTTACCGTTCTGAATATTAGTTGTTTTTGAATGACGTACACATAATACTACTTGTAGATAAACTGATAATTAAACGACTTTCCTTCTCGACCATCCCATATGTTTTTTTTTTCTCCCCCCCAAAAAACAATCTCTTTGGGATGGTTGAGAATTGTTTATAACTTTGATGTGTAGCACCTAATTTGTGCGTAACTAACAAAACATGATCTTTCTTGTGATTTATGTATTTGTTAGCTTTTGAAATGGGTTTCTTTCTTTCTTTTAATGGATGGTTTTATTCCTTACCTATGTAATATGGTGCCTACTGGTCTGTTGTAACCATGGAGAGGTCAGAGAGTGAGAAAGGATTGTTTACATCTTTCTCGTTTTTCCTTTTTGTTTATCTTGTAGACCAACAACAAAGAGTCACGTAGTCCAAATTAATCAGATTTGGCTGCCGAGTCTGGAACAAAAATCTTGGGAACCAGTTGAATCTTGTTGGTTCCCAATGTTTGTTAGAATCTTTTCAGACTCGGATGAGTCTAGTTACCTGGCTTGAGATTGGGACCCTAAGGAGTCCTGACCCTAATCCTTGGTTCAACAGTGGTCATCTTCTTTAATCGGTACTTACCTTTGAGATCTTTGGTGCACCAGAGGTAACCGGGAGCAACACTCACAGGATTAAAAGTTCATACTGAAGCACATCAATCATGTTCGGCCGTGCTCCCAGGAGGGGTGACAACTCCCGGTACTATGACATTCTTGGTGTCTCAAAAAATGCGAGTCAGGATGAGCTGAAGAAAGCTTATAAGAAAGCAGCTATAAAGAATCATCCAGATAAGGGTGGAGATCCCGAGAAGGTGAGAATCTTAATTTGTTTGGTTGTTATGTTTGTGAAGAATTATAGGATAAGCTGTATTCTATGTTGCATTATTGATGTTTGGTTTCGTCCCAATAGGATGAAAAAAAAGTTGGATTTGTGAATATAATTATCCTTGGAAATATATATTCATCATACCATGTCATGCCTCAGGAGATTTTGTTTTATGGAACCGGGAAATAACAATGAAATTGATGTGGGCACCACAATAACAAGATTTATACAGAATTTTGGATACATATGTAGTGACCTAAATGGGGAGTAACCATCTAATTTTTGACTATTTTGGTTTTGAATCAGTTTAAGGAGTTGGCTCAAGCATATGATGTATTGAGTGATCCCGAGAAAAGAGAAGTATATGACCAATATGGAGAAGATGCTCTCAAGGAGGGAATGGGAGGAGCTGGACCTTCCCACAATCCATTTGATATATTTGAGTCATTCTTTGGTGGTGGTGGATTTGGTGGTGAGTCTTCATATACATATAGATTGCTTTTGAGTAATCCTTCTCTGTTCTTTCCTCCAAGGTAGTTATTTTCTTATTCAACAAATTGGCTTTTTCAGGTGGCAGCTCAAGAGGGAGGAGGCAGAAGCAAGGTGATGATGTGGTTCACTCTTTGAAGGTTTCTCTTGAGGACTTGTACAATGGAACTTCTAAGAAGCTATCCTTGTCTAGAAATGTGTTGTGCCCAAAATGCAAAGGGTATGATATATATCTAGATGCATTATATATGTATATTTATATTTCAAACTTTTAGCATCCACTTAATTATGGGTTGGTGGCAAATTCTGTTACTATATTGTTATGGAATATGATAAGGTTCTATTTTTGGTTTACTTTGATCCATCAAGTGCCAGAGTACTTTTTTGGTTATATTGTATGAATGCATCATTGTATGATATTTTGAATATAAAGTTATGATGTCAGGACAGTGTTTAAGTGGAAGAAATCATATTGCCTTTGGAGGGGCTGGCTTCGTTTGGTCTAATGACCAAGCTGACTTGGTTGTTAACTCGTACAATCTGCTAATATAACTTATTGTACCTTGAAGTAAACTCATATTTTTGTTTTCTTGATGCATACTTTTTCCCATGTTCAGTGCTCATGTTAGGACATAACATTTGTATGTGTTCCTTTCTTTCGTTCTTCCTTTTGGATGGATAGCATCAGGGTTTATTCCATATAATTTTTTTTTGAAATAGAGTTTTACTCCATATAATTGATATAACCAAGGATCGATGCAAGAACTTGTCTGGAGTTTCTTGTGGTTTGTTAGATATGGGAAGACTTTTATTCTTTGACCCCAGTGCATTCTTTCTTGAGTTGGAGATCTTTTTTGTCAAGATTTCCTCTATCTTGTAAAATCACTGATATCTGATTTTTAACATTATAAATGTCTATTTCTGCTACTAGCTATTTTAATTCCTTGTTTTATGGAGACAAAACTTCATGCTATTTGCTATGCATGTACTCGGTTCCCAAGATTTTATTGTAAAACTGCAGCTAACATTAGATGACCTTGACCACAATTGTCCCTCTCCATCTCATCCTGAAACCCTGGTTCCTAGTCTCAAAACTATGGGATTACCTTTTGCAGGAAAGGATCAAAGAGCGGTGCATCTGGGAGATGCTCAGGTTGCCAAGGTTCTGGTATGAAGGTCTCTATCCGACAGCTTGGACCTGGCATGATCCAGCAGATGCAGCATGTTTGCCCGGACTGCCGTGGCTCAGGTTTGGAAATCATTGATTATCTTTCTGGTTCCTTATTATATCTATCCCGTTAAAATCATTTAAATATAGTGAATATATGGTATAGTCTAATGGTCCATGAGAAACTATAGGCCACCACTGGGTATTTTGTATTTTGGGGACCCATTGGTTGTGGGTCTCCCGCTCAGTAACCATGGGAATCCATCAAAGGATGGTCATGGCCCGAATGTGCTATGGTTTTATGTAGTCCAGTGGACTACAGTTTGCGATCACATGCTGAATTATAATATACTTATGATTTGATTTTCTCCACTTCGTTTTTATTAGGTGTTTTATATTAATTCTTATTCTCTTGAGCAATGGCATTGCAAGTGCAGGTGAAGTCATAAGTGAGAAGGACAAGTGCACACAGTGCAAAGGAAACAAAGTTACTCAAGAGAAGAAGGTTTTGGAAGTGCACGTCGAGAAAGGAATGCAAAATGGCCAGAAAATTGTGTTTCAAGGTGAAGCTGATGAAGCAGTAAGTCCTAACTGTCCCTTTTAAGTAGAGCTTTTCCCTTATTGCTATTATTGGTGTTTTGAATGTACACTCGAGTGATTTTTTTTATTTTGGTTACTCCATTGTAACAGTCTTGCCCTTTATTTTTTTTGGGTTGTGTAGCTGGATACAGTAACAGTCTTGCCCTTTTTTTTTTTGGTTGTGTAGCCGGATACAGTAACAGGTGACATCGTCTTTGTATTGCAATTGAAAGAGCACCCGAAGTTCAAAAGGAAGTTGGACGATCTCTTTGTAGAACACACGCTTACTTTGACTGAGGCTCTCTGTGGGTTCCAGTTTGCTTTGACCCATCTTGATGGAAGGCAGCTCCTTATCAAATCTGGGGAGATCATTAAGCCTGGTATATGATATACGTATATCTTTCTTCTATGTGATAGGCATATCGTTTCTTCTCCTGATCTCTTGGTTCCCTATCGATAATTAGTTTGTATAGATTCATTGAGGTATGTATTAGAGATAGGGAAGCTAAGCTAGCATGAAAACAGGGCAAGGTACTGATAGATAATTGCTCCTGATGGCACATACATTCTTGAAAGCACTGTACCCATTTATTCGTTTTACATGGTGTGCCAAAGTATGCATGTATGATTGAACCTAGGGTTCTTGTAATGTGCACAAGGGGTGTAGACCAGTAGTCCTCCATTGAGAGTACAAAGATGTAGCTAAGCATCATATGACCAACTAGAATATGGTATGATGTTTCCTTGTTTGTTGTAGTGAATTGTCTGCAAGCTTTGAAATTGCTTATTTCCACCATTCGAGTTATGCATCCCACTCGATGGTAGAGGCAACTTGGAACTATTAAGGATCCCTTTTTACTGCTTTATTTGAGTTAGTCTTAACCTTTGTTTTGGGAAGTTCAGAATTTGAAGGCTTTTTTTTTTTTTTAGTTAGTTCTGAAGTACTAAGGAACAGGCACTCAATATCTCAAACTTGGTGTTGTTTGTGTGTGCTTTATGCACAAGGGAGGGAGGGAGGGAGGGGTGGGGTTATTGTATTTTTCCTCCTTTGGGTCCCGAGGAAGAGACTGGCTTTATTCAGGTTAATGAGGGAATTGTTCCATCTGGGCTCTGGGTTCAGCGATTTCCATTGATCTGAATTCTCTGTTTCTCCCAATAATGTTCCCATCTGACTCATTTACCTTTCTGATCTCTCTCTCTTGGTTGGGCGAATTCAGGTCAATACAAGGCCATCAATGATGAGGGGATGCCACACTATCAGAGGCCCTTCATGAAGGGGCGCCTCTACATCCACTTCAACGTTGACTTCCCTGAGTCACTAACCCCAGATCAATCTCGTGCCCTCGAAAAGATATTGCCAGCCAAGCCTGGTAGCAGTCAGTTGTCAGACATGGAGGTCGACGAGTGCGAGGAGACCACAATGCATGATGTCAACATTGAGGACGAGATGAGGAAGAAGCAACAGCAGCAGCAACAACAGGAGGCCTACGACGAAGATGAGGAGCCATCTGCCCCTCGTGTGCAGTGCGCCCAGCAGTAGAGAGAGAGAGAGAGAGAGAGAGTAGTTGGTCATGGGAAAGAAAGTAGGTATTATTTGGGTGTGGAGTATTATATGTGTTAGATGGAAGGAAGTGGTTTTATTTAGATCTTGAGTGAGTAATCCTAAGAGAGAGAGAGAGAGAGGTCCGGTGTGCGCAGCAAAGAGAGGGGCCCAGCTGCTGGATGAACCCAAGGTAATCTCTCATATTTTTTCTCTCTCTAGAAGATAAGAATGAAAGAACTGTTGGATATTTGAAGGGTTTCCTTGCGAGCTTGGAGCTGTGTATGTGATTGTTCAGATCATTGTCTGGTAGTTGAATTTAAATTTTTAGTAAGTTGGATATGATTATTCTCATTTTAAGATTTCCTTTGTGCGGTTTATATAGTATTGATGAACTAGAATTCTCTCTCGCTCGCTCGCTCTCTCTCTATTGCGTTGAGATGCATTCTTATGGTCATTTGATCTCTCATTGAAGGAAAATGTTTTGATGGGGTGCAGTCCTACCAAAACAGAGAGTTAAGCCACAAAACCAGTTAACTTCAAAACTCCCTGAAATTGCAGTCCTGTCGGTGGAAAACTATCAAGTCGATCGTAATGGTCAAGACATAAAGGTCATGAAAGAAAAATAGGATTTCAATCACTAAAAACAGTGCAGTGTAACACATTATCTTAGACTCTTTATTTAACCCTAAAAATTAAGTCTTACAAATATGTAAGATTTGTACTATTGAACTTCAAATTTTATAGTGGTTGAAAATTGATTATGGAACTATGATGGGGATTTTTGATGCTCAAATCGTTTTCAAGATGAGGAATCAAGGTGAGGATTTATTTTGTTTTCATAAACCCTAGGCCTTATAGAAATTGCATCCCTCATTGAATGATACGGTCGGTTATCATTTGATGGGGGTGTTTCTCGAGGTGTAAATGTGAAGAAAGATTGAAAAATGGAAATGATACACCACATGGTTTGAGCTCATTGGTTGTTACATTAATCAGTTTTATGTCATAGGATTTTGTTTAGGATGGGTTTTTTTGGTGAGTCGGCTTACTCATCTATTTCTTCCTCAAAAAACTCTTGAAAGAGATGGATTTTGGAACCAAAAAATTTATGGTTTGAGAATCCCAACCATGGATATAACCAAAAAAAGTACGAATCATAGCAGTAATATATCTTGATATATTAATAATACTTACCTTTTTTAGGAGTGCTCCATGAGTCGATGATGGACGTTACGTAAAGGGTATCGATGGAGCACAAAAGAATACCAAAAATTTATATTTTTAGTTTTAAAAAGAAAATTTTCTTTTCATATTTACGGTCATCTTGGATTAGAGTGTAAATCTAGAAAAAAAAATTAGATAAAATTATATATTTAAAATGGATTCTAGAGGGGGACCACATATGTGCATATGGGTCGGCTGACTCGTAGAAACCCATCCTTCTTTTTATTGGCCTGCCATTCACATCTAGATGTTGGAAGTCCGTCCTCGAAATAATTTTTCTTATAATCTGTTGGGATTTTGTTTTTGAGAAATTTGTCAAAATCACTTAGAAATGAACTAATGTTTGACCTATTGCTTTTGATTTAATTTGTAATGTCCATCAACCTACATTGGTTGATTGGTTAGGTATGTTGTAATAAATATACATGGTTGATTGTTTAGGTACGTTTCGATAAAGGACAATTGTTTCATGCAGCCTGGACCCCATATTTAAAATATGGGGTCCAAAGGTATAAATAGTTGGTCCATGTAAAAAGAAGTATAATTAACCGTCCAAATGTTTTCTTAATATAATTATTGTTTTCTAGTTTTCAATTTTTTTAATTTTTTTATATTCATGATATCTATGTTAAAAATTATATATTTTCTAAAAGGTAGGATCAAATTATATTTTAAAAAAATATTTGTTGCTCACATTTCTACAATATGCGGGCTAGCAGCATATAAACCGTGTCCTTTGATAAAATCCCTTTCTTGTTTGAGTTGAGGACTTTTTTTAGGACATTGTTATAGGTTATTTCTAGGGAAGTTTGAATATTTACATCTAATATCTATCTATTTTATATATTAAACGAGAGTAATACCCTCGCTAATGTGTCTTTTTGTTTTCCACAATTGTCGTCTCTCCATTTCTCTCCCTCTCTTCTTTCCTTAAATCTCTTTCCCCTTGTCAAATATCTCTCTCTGTCTTTAAATCTCCCCATATATTTATCTCTCACATTCTCTCTCCCTCTCTTTACCTCTTTCCTTAAATTTTTCCTTCAAATAAAATATCTCTCTTTCCCTTTAAAGAGCAAGCTTTCTATGCTTCCCCTACAACATAAAACTTATACACTTCCCTTTATACAACCTTTCATTCTGAATGGAGGGCTAAGATTGCCCTAATCACAATGTCACGTCCTCACACTATTTTATTTTAATTTTTTTCTATAAATTATTTTAACACCAAATTTTGTACATCTAATCATCTATTAAACTCGCACTAGTAAAAAATATAAAAAAATATTTTCAATAAAATAAAATGATCAAAATACCCTTGAAAGATTTAAGGGGTATTTTGGTCATTATATTTTATCAAAAAACTATTTTTAATATTTTTTATAGGTGCACCCCAATATCAAGATGACACGTACCAAATTTTATCTTCATACCATTTGTATATAAAAAAAAACTAAAAATAAAATACTTTGAGATGTCGGATCTAAGATCAAACGGTGAGTGGTTCTCTTGATCAAAATTGGACGGCTGGATGGTAGGGGAAGCATGGATCTTCTATGTTGTAGAAGAAGCATAGAAGCCTTTCCCAATACATAAAAATATATAACTCTTTTGGTTGCGTGATACATCTCATCTTCTCTTCAACTCTCTCACGATTCTATATTATCTCTCTCTCTCCATCCTACATGCATGATCTCCATCTCTCCCAAGTTTCTATATTAGCTCTGTTTTTTACTCTTCATCCTACATGCATGAAAATACATACAAATAGGTAACTCCTTTGGTTGTTGGATGACATCACATATTCTTTTTCTCTCAATAAAAGCAAACTTAATTTACTCCGCTTTTCTTCTCTCCTTCTCTCCCTTGTTTCTATATTCTCTCATTCTCTCCCAACATGTATGCAATATTCTCCCATGTCTCTATATTCTATCATTCTCTCTGTCTCTCCCTACATGCATGCAATTGCATGCATAAAAATAAGTAACTCATTTTTAAGTATGAAGACATCTCATCTTCTAGATAACTCATTTTTAAGTATGAAGACATCTCATCTTCTAGGTAACTCAGTTTTTTAATGTGGAGATGCCTTATATTCCCTCTTTCCCCATTTAAATAAATTCTTTTCTTTCCCCAATTTAAATAAATTCGTCTCTCTCTCTTTTCATGATTTACTCTTTCTTCCTCCCACATTTTTCTTTTCTTCCTACATTTATCTTTTCCATATTTCTCTTCCCGTCCCACATATCTCTTTCCCATATTTTTTCTTCCTACTTTTTCTCTCCCCCTCTCACAATTCTCCTACCCACAGTACTCTCTCACACACATGCATGCTCCAACTCTCTCTCTCTCTCTTCTCTCTGTCGCCACAAGTCTCTCTCTATCAACTTTTAACATGTGCTTCATACACAACAAATATGATTATGCTAATTCTCTCCAAGGCAATCATATTTTTTTTTCTATGCATAGGTAAGTTGATTTCCATTTTCTTTTGATATTATATATTAGTTTTTCTTTTTCAAGAACCCATAAATGACACGTCATGGAAGAAGATGAGTTTTCATTTCGCTGCCCATTGGATATTGGAGTTATTCGGTATTACTTTTGCTTAGAAGTGTTTGAAGTGTTTAATATAAGAACTAAATAATTTTAATTGTTTATCGGTTGTACTTTTATATGTTCAATGAAGTTATGCAAGGCAATCATTTTTTTTTTGTCTCTGTAAGTATGTTGATTTCTATTTTCTAGATTTTTGTTTTTATTTTTATTTTTTATTTTTATTTTTTTATTTTTCTTTTCCAAGAATCTATTGGATATTAGAGTTCTTCAATATTACTTTTGCCAAATGAAGGCTCTAGGTTCTTAAGATACATCTTTTTTGCTCCTTCCATGGCGTGTAACGGGCTTCAATTATGGGTCATTGAAATGAAAATCCAAAAACAAGAAAAAAAAAGAAAACATAAATCCAGACAATATATAATATCAAAAGAAAATTGAAAACAACATACCTATGTAGAGGAAAAAAATATCATTGCCTTGCATAACTTAATTGACTTCATTGGACATATACAACAAGTAAACAATTAAAATTATTTATTAAATACTGCACATACTTCTAAGCAGCTAAAGTAATATTGAAGAACTCTAATATCCAATGAGCAGTCAAATGAAGACTCATTTAGTTTCAAAGTAGCCAAGGTGAAGACTCATTTAGGTTCAAAGTAGCCAATGTTGCTATATACATCTTTCCATGCTTATTCCATGGCTCCATGGCATGTAGATGTGCTTCATCGATGGGTTCTCGAAAAAGAAAAACCAAAAAAAGAAGAAAAAAAGATGAAACAGAAATCCAGACAATATACAATATCAAAAGAATTGTGAGAGGGGAAGAGAAAATGCAAGGAGAAAGATGGGAGAGAGACATGTGGGAGAGAGGTATGTGAGACGGGAAAAGAAATATGGGAGAGAGAAATGTGGGAAGGGAAAAAAAAATGTAGGAGGGACTGAGTAAATTATGGAGAGAGAGAGATGAATTTACTTAAATTGGGGAGAGAGGAATTTATTTAAATTGGGGAAAGAGGGAAGATAAGACGTCACCGCATTAAAAAAAAAAAAGGTTACTTAGAAGATGATGTATCATCATACTAATTTGCATGAATGGAGAGAGAAAGAGAAAGAGAATGAGAATGAGAATATATAAACATGTGCGAGATGATAAGATGAGTAAATTAAGTTCGCTTTAATTTAGAGAAAGAAAATATAAGGTGTCATCACACAACCAAAGGAGTTACCTATTTATATGTATTTGCATGCATGTAGGATGGAGAGATAGAGATAATAGAAAAATGTAGGAGAGATAAAAAGTAAGAGTAAATTGAGAGAAATAAAAGAGAGAGAATGTAATACAAATGTTGGAGGGAGAGATGGATAAGAATTGAATGAAAAAAGACACGTGGCGTTATAATAAGAGGAGTGTTGCTTTCACTTAATATATAATAAATAGATATGTGAAGATGGATCTATTAGAAGCTCTCTCTATATAATCGAAGTCCTTTTAAAATATTATTTCTAAACAAATTTTTTTTTTACAATTAATAATTAATTTTACGTACGTGCATATCACTAGTCATAACCATATGACCAAGCTGCTAACCCT